ACGCACTTGAAGGTACAAATGAATCACGCATATCCGTGACGTCATTTCTCCCTTCACATCTGAAATTAGACACTTCCCGAATCGAGCGCACATCTGAACATATTCGTATATTATGCAAATAATTAAAAAAATTTTAATTATTTATTTCTCGATAACATTAAGGTGTATTAATTCAACATTAACATTATAATTTGTCTATTTACTTTTTAACTATTTTATTTTTAATTTTCCTTTGTCAAGTGTCATATGTTTTAATTTTCCTTGACGCGTGTCAAGTTATTAAACAGATTTTAAAATCAAAATAATGATAATTCTCTAATGCTATTGTCTCCAATGCTATTATCGCAAAAGACATCACATACCTTTTCTGTTTTCTATAGCATCTTTAAGATTGACCTTAAGGCTTACGTTGCTGTGAATCATAGTGAGATAATAATACACCATGGGCAATTACGCTCTTAACGCAACGACACTTTTCTCTCGCATTCTCGCGATAACGTGCAATTATCAAGCTTACATTGTTCCTCAAGGATGCATAACTTAATTGGATAACAGCTGTAATCATTTTCGCCTAAATCTCTTTTTTACAATAACAAATCTTAATACCGTATATTTATATTTATATTTTTAATATAATTAATAAATCTGTTGATTATTTTTTATTTTATATTGTATATGTGACTCACGATATTTTTTACAACTAATTTATCAACGTTGTAATGCTTTATCCAACGTTTGCCCCTACAATTAGTATAAAGCCGACTAAATACAAATGAACACATTAAACTTTACATTAACTAATTGTAAGCGTGTATTTCTTTGATCTTTGTATTGCGTAATTTTATTGCAGCCGATGCATTCTCGTCGAGCGATTTATTATCTCATTATTGAATATCGCTATTACTTAAACTTATTCATAAGTGAAATAATACTGGATGTTACTGGTAAAACGCAGATAATTAACTCTTGTGCGTCACTGCGTTTAAGAGTGCAACTATATATGTATAGGCGAAAGGTGTACGAAGTAAACCGCAAAAATTTCACATATTCTCAACTTTCATATAATATCCTATTGCAACATCAAATGATAATTTTATATAATATGTTCTTTCTATAATAAAAAAATACACGAATCAAAGGTGCGCTTCTCAAAGGTTATTAGTGTTTTTGCAGTAACTATGCGCATGTTACCTGCAAAATATGTAATTGTGCGTTCACGGTTGTAGGATTTGCAATTTATTAAAGTTGTACAGCTGTAAGCGGAGAAACTTTATGTTTATCTTAATTTAAAAAAAAATTATCAGCGATCGCCGTTGGACTTAAAAAAGTTAAATAGACAAAATTTAGAAAATAATACTTTATTCTCGCGATAAATATAATTCGTGAAGAAAAACGAATGCAAGAGAGCGAGTATATTGGAGTGGGACAGTCTACATATGAGAGCACTTGAGAAGCAAAAAACACGCATATTTAATATAGGTCATTCTGTAGTTTGCCGTTTATAATGACGCTCGTAATATAATGACGCAATAGCATGTCCTGATATTTCGCACGTATAAACATCACAAAATAATAAATATACTTGTGACCGACTACACTTCTTACAAAATTCCGTTAAAATAATAATTTATTCTCTTATAGAGAATACGTTTACATAGAAAAAAATTTATTTAACTAAAATAATATAACCATTTGTGTTTTCAATTCGTAGTAAATATTAAAACAATTTTTTAAATTTGTTTATTTATATTTAAAAAGCTCTTATTTAAATCGAATATTTCAAACATTTCTATGCGTTGAAATCACGTGCAGGACTTTTAGTTGATACATGTTGATAAGTTCTCAGAAAAAAGATAGCTGGGGATATACCACGAGTGCGCGCACGTAGCAGGAAAAGATTACATATTTCTTATGCGTAATCGGTTTTTACGCCAAAAAATCTTTGTACCGTGCAAAAAATACGCATAACGAAATAGAATTATGGTGCGATCTTAAGATGAAGCAGTTGCACTCGCCCATACAGAATACTTCTCTAGGTAACTTTATATGTTATGCGCAAGATAAATGCAAAAAATAGTAATAAGTAACAACGGTTCATAAATGTCGAAGCAAGAACATTCTAGGATCTATAGAGAATGTTTTGCCGGATATAACATGGTTTAAAAAAATCCCGGATTGATAACCTTGAAAGTCTCTCTGATTATAGAGATTTAATTTTTTTAAAGAATTTTTTTACATTGAACGCGGTGAGCGATAATAAGCAACACGTATTCTTAGAATAAATTGATGCCTTAATTATTTCTGAACAAGGTTTGTGATTACGGTAATTCTCTCGACAATTGCGTTCTCATCCACTAAATTAGCAATCGGCATTCCACGAGAAGAGGCGCGGTGCGTACTTCTATGCTAATTCGTTAAATACGTTCGTACGTTTCGCAGTAACACATTGCGTTAATAAGAATAATTGTATTGTCACATATTCATACATTCCTGCACGTGCGTTATCTATACATGTGTACCTTTTACGAGAGTGAAATGGCAACAATGTGCCGTGCATCAGTTAGGAGTATCACGTGAACGTGAGCTAAGCGCCAATATTCGAATGTTTATCAAAATGAAAATTGCACAATAATTTCCGAAAATGACTCAAATTAGTTTTCTTTTCGATCGAAGAATCAAATTAGTTAAAAATTTAATTGTTACATTAACGTCTTAATTTTGCTTTATTCATTATTTAGCGATTTGTACATTGTTTAGAAAAATAAAAGATAACATAAATATTGTATATACATACATCATACATCACGTATATCACATATCATAAATATCATGCATATCACGTATTTATGTATCATATTTATATTAACATGAAAAAAGATAAGAATATACGCGCTTTGGTTTTCATTGCCTTTTTCTTCCTTAATGTAAATATATAATATGATACATAAATACGTGATATGCATGTGTGTGTGAGATTTATGATACGTGCATACGTGATATGCGATACATATATGATATGCACTGCGTGATACATATATGATATGCTTTGATTCTTTGTCTTTTTTCTCGTTAATATTTTTTTATTCTTAAATCCTTATTTCATATTTATATTATATAAATATATTTCATATATATACATCTATCGTATTTTTGGAAATATAAACTTATGCAAGTAATTAATCCTTCATGCACAGAGATGGGGGAAATTTCAATTTCTGCTATTTTCACTCTCGATCGGAGAGTGGCCGTCATACCATGAGAGGAGTAAAAGTCAATGGGAACCTGCGATAAAAACAGGTGTGGAGACGTGCGCTATAGCTGACCAAGCCGAGAAAGTCAAGAACGCGAATGCCGCGGTGCCCGGTATGCTCCAACAAGTATCTCTTCGTGAAGCCTGTTAGCCTACTTACACACTAGTACGGCTCGAAATTCGTCGCGCCGCGGCAGCCGGTCGCCGTTCGTCGATTCGATAATATTGACTGTTGTATTGATAGAATTTTTATAAAAACAAAGTGCTGATAGATAAACGAATTGTTATTTTCGATGCTGTAGCGACTCAATTCACTCAGGTCTTGCATAACATGATTAGCTATCGCCAGATCGACGATTCTGCGGATCATCGGCGGAATTTCAAAACCTCGTTTTTTCTATACGAGGCTTTCAATCTGAGAAAGTCGCGATTTCGCACGTACGCCACGGCTCGAAAATTGCAATTACAGTTGCTAATCCTCTCGTTTTTACATCTCATGTAAAATGTACATAATTTAACATATATTTCAAACTGTCGAATTAACGACAAATTAGAATAGCATAAAAATAATTAAACAAACAGTAGCTCATACTTCATAAAAGTATAAAAAGTAAGTGAAATATAAGTTACAAGTTTTAGTTACAAGGACAAAATTTTAAAAAGTAAATTTTTTAATCAATATATTAATCTTCTATTAAAATTTATTTTTGATCACTTGTAGTTTTATTTCTTAATATCATTCCATAAAAATTCTCGAGTCTATTTTAATAAAGAATCTGATCTTATTGTTTGCACATTATCTTATATATATAATAAAAATCATTTTTTCCAATTATGTTTTTTTATTTTATTAAATTTAGAATTGCTATTTTATTATATATATATAAAGTAATATTTTAGATTGCTGATATTAACTCTTATTTATATTTATTTTTTATTAATTTGGAATAGATTTTTAAACATATGTATATACATAGATAAATAATGTGACGGCAGAAGAATATTTGGCACATGTCAATTTTTTCGATTGGAGAGAAGCTGAGTAAGAATAGAAAGATTTCATGTTTCACGTTTAAATGTATTTTGAAACATTGCGCAAGTAATATATAATTTGCACTTACCTGTTAATTTTCCGTTCCTTTAGAGTTTTTTAAAGACCAAATTATTTTTTTTCCAATTTATTCATTTTATTTTTAAATTTTTCGGTATATCATATATTTATGTATTATTTAATTAGATTTTTCTTAAATTTTCTGTACTAATTATATATATATATTTGTTATATGATTATTCACAAAGATATTTTTTCACGTAAACGTAACCTTAAGTAACTGTTAATGTAAATTTAACGTGAGAAATACAGAAATCAAAGGATATCTCGTCAAGTGATTGTAATGCAGACGACGAATGCAGATTTAAACTCTAATAAGCGCATGCGTACCTCGTACAACACAGCGCATGCATAGTCAATGCAATGTCTGTAAAAGAATGCTAAAATTTTATCCATTTTTTCAAACAGAGTTACCCATCATGAGAACATTAAAATACACGTGAATTATTATGATCATGCATTTCTTGATTTACTCTAATTTTTATATTTTTGTCACAAAATCGTCTCTCATTTGACTGAGACGTCACTAGCAGACGATCCATACGGCGTCTGCTAGAACCAGCTGATCACAGCACCGGGCAAAATCGTGTTACTCTCAATATTCTTCAACTGTCACATTATTTGTCCATGTATACATTAATGTTTAACGTAAATAACAAAATTCCGACACTTTCACTGTTTTATGTATTAATTGTTGCAAAAGTACGGATAATTGCTCTTCCCTGCACCTGCCATCTGATTCACGTGTTATGTAATTTACATAAAATTTGTTACTGACAAGTTTTTGTAAGTAGTTGTTCGAGTAGTTGTACTCTATCAACATGTTTCATAGTTTATAAGCAAGGATATACAATAGAACGATGCTGCAATTATCACTTCAGAAATAAGGTTATGTTTGTATAAATCTGGAAACAGAACATAAAAATCGCGAAAACTGAATGGGAGAATGTGTTTTTTCAATCATGTCGTGTTTGAAAAATCATCAGCCACTAGGATAACGCGTTTGACTTAAGGGAAAATAACAGATAATTAAAATCCCTTAGCGTAAGCAGTGGGAAATAAATCGGAGTTTCACTGTGAAAACATACCTGGCAGTGTTTCAGGAGCGCGCCGCTCGGTCGCGAGTCCACCGGTCTCGATTTCGCACATGTCGTCGTCGAAACTTTCCTCCGTAATTGGGTGAAATGTCCGTACTGGCACAGTTTCTCCACATGAGCACATAGCCTACTCGATCCTATACACGCCATCGCGAAGACTGTAGTGAACGGACTCGCTGCACACTGAGCAGTCCGAGCCTCTTTCGACAACCCGCACAACCCCACCAACGCATTGAAAAATCACGCCTCTCTCCCCAACCGCTGCTACCTTTTCCGTCCCACCAAGATCATCGGGATCCCCGATCCGACCGCGAATGCGAACAGGTTCTCACTCTTTCAATAAACCAGCGAGATACTGTCAGGGCCATCAAGTTTTCATGCATTTCGCGTAACCAACGTTTCTGCTGCCCTCTAACAATGTACTTCACAGTTACATACAGCAGCTTATTTCCTATCGGCAGTGATGTTAGCAGCCGCTAGTCACATAAAATCGTGGTATAGGGGGCATGCACAAAAGTAAGAAACGTGTCCAAGTGCGCTCCACGCTCGGATATTATAAAGAAATAGATATACTATGTTTAGTCTTCTTTCTATCGAACCGGCCACGAAGTAACATTGCGCGCTTCTTGTTGCGTATGACAGCGTCAAATGCTTCTTCAAAATTTATAGTCTTGTAAAAAGTTAATATTAAAATATCTCAATATTATATGCATTTATTATGTAAAGCACTTTTACTCTTAAACTGTATATCGCCTAAATAATCGCCGAAGTAATCTAAATTACCCAGATAGCACATGTTCGTTTCAGAAACGTTTCATAAATGTTTCTTCGAAATCCCCTTTTATCCTTTATCCACGCGCGAAAAAAATGTACTTTTATTTACAGAATTAATAAAATAATACATTGTGTGTGCGCGCGCGCGTGTGTGTGTGCGTGTGTACCTAGGCAATATAATTGCTTAAAAAAAACTAAAAAATGTCTAAAATGTCTAAAGACATTTGTGCTGCTTGGTACACATATACATAGTACATATGTATGAATACATTATTATTTTAATTCCGTGAGAAAAAGCAAATTTTTTTCGCAGATAAAGAAAAAACGGTTTTTTCTTTTATTTGTGAAAAAAATATATATGTTTATATATGCAATAGTTAATATGTTTTCTGCAGTTACAATAAGAAATCACAAATATAGTATTTAATTCATCACAAATATGGTAAATATCAATATATCATAATATCAGTATCATAAATATAGTGAAAAAATTCTTTTGCTAAACCATTTTTATTAATTAAATTTATAATTATTTAATTTTTATTACATTAAGTTCTTAAAGAACATTTAAACATTATAGGACTAAAGAAAAATATATGAAAAAAATTAAGCACAAATAAAATTAAAAAAAAATTTTTTGTTTTTTATAAACATGAATAAACGTTTCTTAAATTTAAATTTTAAATTTTAAAAACGCTTTTTATTGATGCTTCACGTTTGAAAAACACTAGATATAATATACCACTAGATATAATATAACACTACATATAAGAAACATATATATAACGAACATGTGTTCCCTGGATAATTATTCACGCCTACTATCCGCATTGAATGACAAACTTTGTGACGCATATAAGTAGTTTTTGCTATTACGTAAAATTAATCCATATTAATATTATTGCAAAATCGAAATAAAAAATGCACGTGCACTTTATATTAATATTAATATGAAATGAAATAAAATGAAGTCAAGAAAAACACATAGATTAATTTTACATAATAGCAAAAACTATTTGCGTCGCAGTCATTAAATGCTTACAGTAAGCGTGAATAATTATAGTTTAAGCATTCTCAATAAGCACTGTGCAATCACAACAAATCAATTATCTCAGTTTTACAATCTATACAATCTAAATAAATACGTTTAACATAACGTCTAAATAAAGATGTGTTTTTTTATTATTCTTTATCTTTTTCTCTCCTATTATTGCATAAATTCGAGCAAACAGTTTCTTTTTCTGTTGATCTTGTTTCCTACTATATTAGACAATATTAAACAATAACAAATTGTGGACTTCTAACAAACCCATATACATATTCTATTTAAAATATATAAAAGTTCTTCATTTTCTTTCGAAGATACAAAATGCATATTACTAATTAATATTGCAGGTATATTATGATGATATTCGAGACAGGCATGGAAGAAGATATAGTTCCTGACATCTCTGTAATTTGAGATTGTGC